ACTCCTCCAAAACCCCCCGGGACTCCTCCAAAAGCCCCCGGGACCCCCCCAAAACCCCCGGGATGCCCCCAAAACCCCTCGGGACACCCCAAAATCCTCCGGGACCCCCAAAAGCTTCGTCCTCACCTCGTTGTCGTCCCCGTCGTCGCTGCTGCGCTCGCTCTCGTCCTCCGAGAAGTTGCTGTCCTCGCTGTCCGACATGGCCGGGACTCCGGGGGCTCGGGAGCGCCTCAGGGAGCGCTCCCCGCGGTTCTGAGGGGAGGCCGGAGGGTCTCGGAGAGGTCTGAGGGGGTCAAGGAGCGTCCTCAGGGCTCGGGAGGTGCCCTGAGGGCTCCGGGGGTGCCCCGAGCGCTCCCGCCGTTCTCCCGCCGCCGCCGCCTCCCTCACGCACGGGCTCCGCTCCGCGGCCTAGCCTGGCCTGGCTCCGCCGCCGCCTGTGTCGCTGCCGGCGCCGCCCGCGGCACGGCCCCCGCCTTCCCCGGTGCCGCTGCCGGTCCCGTCGCGATTCCCGGTCCCGATCCCCGCTCCCGGTCTCAATCCCGGTCCCGGTCCCGAACCGCGGCCGCTCCGCGTCGCTCCCGCCCCTCGCGAGAACTCCGTCCCTTCCTCTCGCGAGACTTCGCGGTCTCCGACGGCGGCACGAGAGGCCCAAAACGCACGGGGCTTTCGCGGAGAGGCGTGACGTCATCCGCCCGGTCCGTGACGTCACTGAGGCTACCCCTCCGCCCGGGTGTTTCCCACGCTCCCGCCCCCCGTGACGTCACGCACAGAAAACCCAAGGAGCCGAAATCGCAAAACACGTGTTTATTTTCCGAAAATCAAACGTTTTACCCCCAAACTCCTGAACCCGGCGCCCCCATCCCCCTCCCCAGCGATCCCCCCGGGAGGGGTCACCCCCAAAATGCTCTGCTGGGACCGCACTGATCCCCAGCAACACCCGAGACCTTCCTCCAACCCCCGGGACGGGATCTGGGGTCACAAACTCCCCCAGACGCTCCCCAAAACCAATCCCCACCGGGACGGGGGGGGGCAGACCCCAAAACCCCCCCAAATCCTGGCTCAGTCCCCATCTCACACCTGAACCAACCCCTGACACCCCCAAATCCTGGCTCAATCCCCATCTCACACCTGAACCAACCCGACACCCCCAAATCCTGGCTCAATCCCCATCTCACACCTGAACCAACCCCTGACACCCCCAAATCCTGGCTCAGTCCCCATCTCACACCTGAACCAACCCCTGACACCCCCAAATCCTGTTCAATCCCCATCTCACACCTGAACCGACCCCTGAACCCCCTCAACCAACCCCAACCCCAACAAATCCTGACTCAACCCCCATCCCACACCCGGACCACACCCCCTCCCCATTTTCGGGGGTGTACCGGGGGTCTCTCCCACCCCATCCCCACCTCCCACCCGAACCACCCCCCCTCCCCCATCCCCATTTTTGGGGTGTCCCGGGGATCTCCCCCGCCCCATTTCGGGGGTGTCCCGGGGGTCTCCCCGCCCCATTTCGGGGTGTCCCGGGGATCTCCCCCGCCCCATTTCGGGGGTGTCCCGGGGATCTCCCCCGCCCCATTTCGGGGGTGTCCCGGGGATCTCCCCCCGCCCCATTTTTGGGGTGTCCCGGTGATCTCCCCCGCCCCATTTTTGGGGTGTCCCGGGGATCTCCCCGCCCCATTTCGGGGGTGTCCCGGGGGTCTCCCCGCCCCCTCAGGGCCCCCCCGGCGGGGGCAGCTTGCCGGTGATCTTGTTGGTGCCCTCCAGCAGGGCGTTGTGGATGTCCTTGGCGCCCGCGATCTGCGCCTTGATCAGCGGCAGGTACTGCGTGTAGGGCAGCGCCTCCCCCCCGGGACCCCCCTCGCCCTTCGGGGCCGCGGGCACCAGCGCCGGGGCGTGCTTGGCGCTGTCGAAGCTCTGAGACAGGCACTCGTGGGCCAGGCGCTGCGGGGGGATAGCGGGAATCACCGGGGGGACCGGGAGATACCGGGAATTACCGGGGGCGATAGCGGGAATTACCGGGGGGGACCGGGAATCACCGGGAATCACCGGGGGGGGGACCGGGAGATACCGGGAATTATCGGGGGGGGACCGGGAATCACCAGGGGGTACCGGGAATTACCGGGAATCACCGGGAATCACCGGGGGGGACCGGGAGATACCGGGAATTACCGGGGGGCACCGGGAATCACCGGGGGATACCGGGAATTACCGGGAATCACCGGGAATCACCGGGGGGGACCGGGAGATACCGGGAATTACCGGGGGGCACCGGGAATCACCGGGGGATACCGGGAATTACCGGGGGGATACCGAGAATTACTGGGAATCAACGGGGGATACCAGGAATCAGCGCGGGGACACCAGGAATCACCGGGGGATACCGGGGAATACCGAGAATTACTGGGAATCAGGGGGGAATCACCGGGAATTACCGGGGGGACACCGGGAATCACCGGGGAATCACCGGGAGACACAGGGAATCACCGGGGAATCACTGGGGGAGCGCAGGGGGGACACGGGGAATCACAGGGGGACACGGGGGGACACTGAGAATCACCGGGAATCACCGAGGGAACACTGGGAATCACCAGGGAATCACCGGGAATCACCGGGGGGATACGGGGAATCAGCGGGGGGACAATGAGAATCACCGGGAAATCACCGGGCAGACACGGGGAATCACCGGGGGGGCACGGGGGGACACGGGGATTCACCGGGGGACACGGGGAATCACCGGAAATCACCGGAAATCACCGGGGGACACTGGGAATCACCGGGAAATCACCGGGAATCAGCGGGAATCAGCGGGGAATCACCGGGAATCACCGGGGGGGCTCAGGGAATCACCGGGAATCACCGGGGGGACAATGAGAAGCACCGGGAAATCACCGGGGTACACGGGGAATCACCGGGAGACAGGGGCAATCACCGGAAATCACCGGGGGGGACACCGGGAATCACCGGGGGGACACCAGGAATCACCGGAAATCACCGGGGGACACGAGAAATCACCGGGGGGGACACGGGAAATCACTGGGAAATCACCGGGAGACAGGGGCAATCACCGGGGGGATACGGGGGGACACCAGGAATCACCGGGGGGACACCAGGAATCACCGGAAATCACCGGGGGACACGGGAAATCACCGGGGGGGCTCAGGGAATCACCTGGGAGGATTTGGGGGGGTCTGGAGGGAATCCAGGGGCTCTTGAGGGGATTTTGGGGTGTTTGGGGGGGGCCGAGAGAGGATTCGGGGGGGGTTTGGGGGTTCATTTTGGGGGGGGCTGTTCAGGCACAGCTCCAGCTGCTCCTGCAGACGGGTTTGGGTGTGATTTTGGGTGTGGTTTGGGG